TGTGTGTGTGTGTGTGTGATGACATCATTTCTTCATCTTCTTCTGTCGGTCCAAAAACTTTTGTCTTCTTTCTATTGGAATCTCATCCAGACTTATACCATGGTTACTGGCCCTGAGAGTGAGACAGGTTACAGAGATAGAGAGAGACAGGTTAGAGAGACAGTTTAGAAAGAGAGAGACAGGTTAGAGAGAGAGACAAGTTATGGAGACAGAGGTTAGAGAGAGAGTTATGAAAAAGATGTAAAATATTCAAAGAAACAGGGTTAGAGCAATCAATCTCGTTTCACTTACAATTCTTATCATATTCATGATGTGTTGTAAATGTATATGTGTGTCTGTGTGTGTATTGTAAGTGTGTGTTCTTACCCCCCAGTGAGGTCTGGAGGAACAGGAAGAGGTTTATCAAAATCATCTCGACCCATCAGCCAGTACGTGTCCACCGTACCTTTCACCTTCAAAAACGTTTGATCACATTTCAGTTCTGGATCTGATCGGTTTAACTGTGTTGTAGCAGTTTCATAAAGTCCAACACATATAAGTGGCCTCTAAATTAAAAATGGCCGACGTCCTATTGGATTAGGGGTAAGGCTTAGGGTGGTTAGGGTCAAACAGTATAGAACTATCAGTGTACCTGGGCCTTTCTGGTGTCTATGTGGTATCCCAGTTTGAGACTGGTCAGGACCTTCACTGTACTCAGACTGATGTGGATCCTGTAGGCTGGAGACCACAAACACAAAATGATTATTGAATATCAGTCATTGATCTTGACTCATTATTCAAACACCAACAGAAATATTTATGTCAGATTATACAGTTCCAGTCATTTTCTACAGAATCACTGATTGTAACATACGCAGTCCGCTGGCTTCCATGTGAGAGGCTGTGGTCACTGTGTCTCCAAACAGACAGTACCTGGGCATCGTGAGACCGACCACACCTGCTACCACTGGCCCTAAAGACAGACAGACAGATAGACAGGTTTAGTCATCAACTTTGAGAACTGGGTTAGCCCTAACCCTAAACTGTCAGGAACTTTTCACAGTTAATAAATCACAACTTTACAGATGAAGGACGAGTCTGAATGAATGACAGCACAAAGTCAGTGTTTATTATTGGTAGTCTGGCCGATGACTGGCTGATATTTAGCTGATGTTGAACTAATAACTGATGAAATTTCTACTTAGTTTTCTTACTCACTTTTCAGGGAGCGTTGCTTAAAATCAAAGTATTAAAAACTGTTTGAGTGTACCAGAGTGCAGTCCGATGCGTATTTTGACTTTAATCTCAGGCATGTGTTTGATCTTAAAAGCTCCTATTGAGTGCAGGATGTCCAGAGACATGTTGGCCACTTCAGCTGCATGTCGATTCCCATTTCTGTTGGGAATACCTGAAGCCACCATATAGGCGTCTCCAATAGTTTCCACCTGCAAACAAAACACACAAAACACATTTATTTTTTTTTATTTTTTTCCGGCTTTTTATGCCTTTATTTGATTCTCTGTAAGCTATTGCTGCTTGCTGCACTGTAAGCCCTACCACCACCCCAGCATCCACCTGTAGGCTCCAGCTAGGGGTTTAAGGTATTTGCTCATCACTTCCCAATATCTCTATGTAAACATATCTGCGGGGATGAGGTAGGAGCCTAGACGCCAAAATCTAAATATGCTATACTGCTGTGATAAACCTTTTTAAACGTGAGTTGTCTGAAATATGCTTACTTGAATTGAGAGAGCAAAAGAGACTGCGAGAGAGACAGAAAAGACTCAAATATTTTACAAGCATATGACCTAAAATGTAAAAATATATGCCATAAAACGTCTAATAGTAGCCCAGGCATTTTTTTGCGGAAATCACTGAACTCACGCGTCACACACACTGCCACCCACCACAACAACTACACTCTCAATCTGTGGGGAACACAAGCTTCTAAAATCCTCCTGCCCACCCCTTCCCCTTTGTTTGTTTGTCTGTCTGTCTGATACCCGTCCGTACATGCACATGCCATAACAGGACATTCCAAAGAAAACACACAAATATAAACACACTGTATGGAGCACTGTGGTGCATAATGCTACCACATGGCAGCTAAACATAACGAGAACCATCAAAGGAAATTTGATCCCACACCTCGTTTTTTTTTTCTCCGCTGTTCAAGTCAAGTCTAAAGTGTTTTTATTTGGCCTACATCGATAGGGGTGTCACAGTGCATACTGTGTTGAAAATCCTATAAACATTTTGACCTGAAACACATCTGTGGCCCCCACCTCACCTGTCCACCATATTGGGATCAGCATTTCTGGATAGCAGAAGCTCCACACAGCGGGCAATTTTGTCTTCACTTGTAGAAGCTGAGAAGCAGGCCATGAGCACCGTCCAGTGATCTGTGGACAAGAACACATTAGTGTGAACGTTTTCTTTTTAAATGCATAAAAAGCTGACATGCCAGCGCTATTTCAAAAGGCTATGAAGAGTTTTAGATAGAAAAAAATGACTATGAATAATAAAAGATAAGTGCCCGTTTTACTGCTTTTTGGTTTTTTTGCACAAAATCCACCTTTATGTGGAAAATATATCTATATCACCAACTAGACCTGGCAGTCTAGTGATTGTAAAGAGGGCCGCTCTTTTTTGTAGCTGATCCAGAGGAAGCTTTATGACGAGTCAGACAATGTAGGGTTAAAGGAGGACATTTTTTGTTTAAAATTAGCCTGTAGTGTAGAACTTTAATTAACCAATTTCTGAGGGCTCCATCAGTCTTACTGTGGCCAAAATGCTTCATGGATTAAAATCCGAAGTAGCATGCCCATTACTGAAGTGTTTCTTTTGGTCAGTTAGAAGCAGTTGCATGATGTTACACAAATATAGTTCCTGGTTTCTTTACAATGATGTACAAAAATGTAATGATGCAACCACAAAACTGCCAGCTACTGTACGTATAAACTTAACATGTTAATGTCTTAACAGACGACTGTTCGCCCGTAACTCACTGTCCAATCTCTTGTTTGTTTTTTGGAGAATGGTGCAGTTCAATTACTGCAGTTACCTCATGGAAACAAATAAAAAGCATGAAATCCTCATTATTGGTAATCGTAAGTTCGTTATTCAGCTTGACAAATTAAGAGGAAAGCAGAGTACTGTTTTTTTCATTCCAATGAAGTAATACATCATGCTGTAATAAAGAAAAGAATCAAATCTGAACGATAACCCGGTGACAGAGATGGATAGCCGATTATCTGGCATCAGGAAGTGTGGCAGCCTTTATGGGACTGAGTGACTTCAGAGGAATTGTCTCCTTATCTCATCCTGATAAGACCCGTCTGAGACCCATGGCAATGCTCTCAATTCCTGTTTTGTTCCGCCAAAGCCTGAGTCCTCAACCTGTGTATCACAGTATGTATCTAAGTGTGTATTGGTGTGTGTGCATGCATACCTGGGCCTCTACATCTGTATGTGGGTTCCTGTGACTTTGTGGCTACGCATGTTTGGCTCTATATCTGTGTGCAAGTGTGTGTGTTTATATTATGTGTGCGTGGGTGTAAACCAGACAGCCTGGTTTGCGTCTAGAGAGGACTGGAGTAAATAAATTCGAGGCCTGAGAATTGGTGAGAGGGTATGATAGCAGCATGGTGACCGTTATCAATCACTCATGCATTCCTCCGTTCAGCCGCTTTCACAAACGCCATCAGGACGTGACCACACGTCATCCTTCTGTTTAATTGTTTCCTTCACCTGCCTCAAGCATCAGATGCCGAGACCATGTGAATTCAGTCACACACACAGTTTAACTCGACATTCTGGACCGAGAATTAATTGACATCAGATATCAACAGCATGACTAGTGCTGTGGTTCCACAGGTCTGGGGACGTCCCGGAGCTACAGGATTACAGGTTTCTGATGATCCCCAGGAAAATTTACAATGCACAATAATCTATTGTAACTGCAGCAGCAACAGTGACAGGAATGTAGAAAAAAAGACATTACTGATCAGAAGTTTACATTCACCACTGTTACCTAAAATCGTACTTATTATTCATGGTAAGTCTTTTCCTGAATGCACTCACACAGGCAGCAAATGTCTCACTGTGTGTCTATTGTTGTTGTGGCTCTATTGTGACTGCTGCATAATACAGGAATTTTGAGGAAGTATACAATTATTACCAATATTTCAGCACCAAGTCTAATGCCCTAATGCCATAGGAAGAAGAACACCCTCCAACATGGAAGAACAACATGTTGAACATGGCAACAATTGCAGCTGCAGCAACAGGTCTGACTTTCAGATCAGAATATTGTCCGAGTTTGCCCCTTCACACATGTAGTACACAACAGGAGATTGCTCGTATCAGATGTGTTATCACATGTTGGAACTACTCAGTTTAGGTTTAGGCAAGTGGGTCACACCTGCAGAGCGTGCAGGAGGAGGAGGAGGACTCATTTGTAATGACGACTGTTTTTGCATCGATATCAATACAAACCAAGTCTCAAAATGACCACAAACCACAAAACTATAACTGTGACAGACATGGAGGGCAGTGAGATTCCAGTGTGCCTGCTCAGCAGGACAGATACTTCATAGTGCTTCATAGTGCTCTGGGATTTTATAAATTAACTATGAGCAGGACACACAAACTGTGAGAAAATCTGATATTTCCACTTTACAGATGGAGAAAAATGGCGTGAGGTATGACTCATGTAGGCTGAAAACGAAATGATCAACTAAAGAGTGGAAAATCTCATTATCTCAAAAGTATCATGACATTCCTGCATCTTGCATCATTTTCATGATTCCATTGTAAATAGAGAGGAACACAGCAGGAAGTGACTACAGCTACAATCTAAAAAACGAGGCAGATAGAAGCTAGACTCAAAAAGACAAAAAGTTACTGCAGCCGGGGATGATTGCTGTCATTATCCATTTATCTGTTGATTATTTTATTAAATAACTGATAACTTACTTGGTCTATAAAATGCCCATCACACTAACTGCAGGAACATTAGGTGACCATATATACTCATCAATAAGTTAATGCATTTGCACAAAGTTCAACAATCTCCTTATCCTCCTCTTTTATGAAATTAATTACATAACTTCTCCAGATATTGCTCCATTCATCTTCAGAAATAGACTACCAGCCATTCAATCTCTTGTTGTCACTGCAGATTTAGAAATCAGAATGAGCTTCAATCCCAATATTACCAACATTAAATGTAGGGCTGCACAATATGGTAAAAACATCATATTGCGATTATGTTGATTGCAATATTATACGCAATTAGCATGGGAATTATCATTCTGCATCAAGTATTTAATTTATATTGAAAAAACTATTAAGGTTAATGTTACATTTTTGGGGGTCTGTATCAAACAAACATGTAAATCTTCTTAAATCTGGAGAATAAGATCCCGGACATCTCTGCAGCACTACAGTACTTCATTATAGTGCTGTTTTGTCAAACATTTTATCTATTCAAAAATTTGTGCGATTTGTATATTACACTTGGCTGTATTGCTATTTTAATAATATTTCAATTAGGTGTGTAGCCCTAATTAAAATCTGCCAAAAATTCAAAGGGCAGAATTACAGGTCCCTGACAATATTCCTTTGCCCGTAGACTGATCATTAAGTGTGATTCAGTGGGAGAAGGCCACAAAATCAAACTAAAGACCCATTCCTATTCTGACTGTAGAGTCTGTCTGAGTAGAGTTGTCATTCAACAACCATTTTCCCTTCTACAGATAAGACTTAACGGATTACTGAACTAACGACAAAACGTTTAATGTTTCTGGGGATCTGTGACTGCATTTTTCCAACAGAATTTGTGGTTTTATGTGTATAAAACTGTAAAAAATTCTTAACACGGAAGAGTTCTTCCCCCATGCATATTTTACCCAGACTGACCTCGATCCAACAGATGCCTTCAATTTCTCTTGCTTTGGGATGAGGGTGCAGTGTGCATGAACTAAAAACAACTAAAAGGATCAGAGGTGTGTTTCTGCAAGAGTTCCTCTTTGGCGTCATCACCATTAAGTAATGTCAGATGAAGCGTATTGGTGCAGAGGCCTGATTGGTCCACTGGTCTTTGGCTGTAGCAGGTGAGGAAATTGAAAAAAGGTGCCACAGGGAAGGATAGCTCGACACCAACACAACAGGGACTGTCAAGAGGATTAAGTATGCCTGTTTGATATCCAAGGCTGGAGGGCAGCTATGTAATGGTGTTGCCTAATCAAACTATCTGCCCTAGTTTTGTTTTCTGAAAGGTGGTGGGTGAGTGACGACAGAGCGATCAGTGGAGAATATACTTATTCCTAAACATCAATCAAAAATCGAATTATTATTATTTTGAGTGATTTCTGTTTTTATCTTTGGTTTTGAAGGACCTGGAAGAAGAATGTAGTTTGTGTCCACAGCTTTTAAACTTTGGAAGGATGCTGACTACAATGATCAAACAAAAATAGACAATATGTCCATATATACAAAAAAAAGGTACATCAAGAGTAAGAGTACAAAACAAATACATTAAAAGAAAGAAAAAGAAAAAGAAATTAAAGCTTCAAGCTATGATGATCAGGCCCTCGTAGTCCGCACGTGATTGCAATACATGGCTCACTTCTTGTTTCCAATAGGTGGCACTGGGACTTAATATTGGCATGTAGAGGTGTTCAAACCTTATCAAACACATTATGTCTGGGGTCAGTTGGACAATGTACAGTCAGGTTATAACAACTTCCTGTTTCATGGCAGTACATCAAAATTCAACGCCATGCACGGAAATGCTGTTCAACAAAAAGCAACAGCCTTCACAATACAGCCTTACCAAAGTCTTAAAGCTTTCCTGGCCAGATCTAAATTGGATCTGGTCAACCATCAGCCCATCAAAGAATAAAAAGGAAATCATTAACTTCACGAGGCCAATAGGTGGCACTATGACTATGACTGAATTATTTGCTCACTCACTCGGGACACTGAAGTAAGGGAGGCTGTAAAAAGGAAGCTTAGTGAGAATGATGTCTGGTTAGACAAGACAACCCCCCCTCAAACACGGTGATCCTTATTGGTCTGACCTTTGTTGAAGTTGGCACTGGCCCCTCTGTCCAACAGCAGTTTGGCCAAGTCGTAATTAGCCACACTGACAGCACACATCAGCGGAGTCCATTGAAAGCCAAGCCTGGTCTCCACGTCCATGCCTGTCCAAAGGGATCAAATTAGGTGAAGCAATGAAATGGTTACATAAAAAGCGATCTGAAAAGCAAATGTGTGCCTAATGCCCTCCAGCACACACATACATGCTGTTTTCCTTGCTCAAAATTGATTCCACTGAATTTCTGGCAAAACTGTTTACGTTGGGGTGACAAGTCACCATAATTCCATTCAATTCAATTTTATTTGTATAGCGCCAATTCATAACAGAAGTTATCAGGACACTTTTCAAATAGAGCAGGTCTAGACCGAACTCCTTATGACATTTACAGAGACCCAAACTACCACCCATGAGCAAGCCTTGGCGACAGGGGCAAGGAAAAACACACAGTCAAGAAATGAATGCTAAAGTGTCACACAGAAAGTGAAGAGAGTACTTGCCATTGTCCAACAGCTGTTCAACAGTGTCAATGTCCCCTTTACTAATGGCTCTTTTCAACACCGACACATTGTCTTCTGCATGTAATACAACAGCATCAGGATCCTGTGACAACAAAGCACAAAAAACTAATAATAAATACTAAATACTAAAAGTCAAAAAGACATGGAAATGGTGCCAAGTGAATGTGTGAGGCTACAACGAATTAACTTCTTTTAAAAATTCTAATTTTAATACTACAAACAAATGCTACACAGAAAATACTATACTAATCTAAATACTGTCAATTAATTAATTAATAATTATAACAATAATCATAATAATAATAGTAAGTAATTCATTTAGGAGCGCAAGAAACAATCATGTTTAGTATTGATTAATCTGCTGATTATTTTCTTGATAAACTGTTTCATAATATACATTATAAAATGTTCATAAAATAGTGAAGGTGACCTCTTTTTGTCCAATTAACACATTTCCAGAACCTGAAGAAATCAGAATGAGAAACTATGTTGGGAGTTTATTTTATGATTGTTAAGCTAACGCAGCTCCTAATACATTAATTGAGCACTTGATGGAGCTAAGTGGACTATTTAATACAGATGTATAATATATATATAAGTATAATATTGATGTAACGCATTTAAAAGCATCTAAAAGCATTTAGCTAACGCTAGAGAGCTACTTCTTGTTGCTTGGAAACAGCGAGTGAAGCTCGTGACGGGTGAAAGAGCGGCAGAGTGACGTAGAGTTTACTCTTCTCACCACAATGACGTAACGTTAGGTTACCTGTATAAAGTGAACAACCAGGTGACCACAGGGAGTCTGTGGCAGTCTATGCGCTCTCTATTTTAACACAAAACAAGCAATAAAGCGGACTGTTAGCTCGCTACCTCCAATATAAACTACAGCTACCTTAGTTAGGTTGACCTGTGTTTGCTGCTGTTGTTGCTAAGTTAGCTAACGCTGTCCTTCAGTTCTAGTAGCATAAACGAGTTTGAGAAAAGATGGACGTTTTCTTCAGCAACCTTAATGCAAGGAGACTTTTTATCCAGGTTCCCTATATCCCAGTCGTCACTGCTGGCGTCGCTTTCATCTCCAGCTGGGAAAGCATAATCCACGGAGCTGCCCATCATTCAGGTTAGCCGCTAGCTAGTCGACACCCCGCCACTCCCGTACAGAGGTGGTTCAATATGCACTTCACTGCACTGCGGCCCGTGGGGGGGCGGAGTTTGACCTCCAGTCGGGCCAATGTTGATGGGTCTGCTTTGTTTTTTCCACTCGTAAAATATCACATTTTACACGCTGGTAGGTTAGTGGAGCTCTCTATGTTATGCATTTTAATATCTTCTAATAAAACATTTAAAAATGCGCCACTATGGGATTGGTTTTCTCTATGCTGATTGAAAACATTACCTGTGTCAGGTGTTTTTAAAGCTCCTGCACACCTACAGTCCAGGTATTTTCACCTATGTGATTTATCATTCATATTAATAAATGGAGACACACTTTTAACTCCCAACATACTGAACATAGCCCCACCCAACTGAGCATGCCTCTAATCCTTTAGAACAAGTAAAAACAGCTGTGAGGATGTGCAGGGCCTTCTAAGTATTTTATACTTGTCATGCTATCATTATATAGCAAGTATCTAATGTAAGTGATCAGTTAATTTTCTCAATCATTTAGTCATGTTCTTATGGAATGTAAAAATAGAGGGAACTTGGACGCCATCATTATCTTATCCATGTATGTGTGTGACTGACAGTCCCCTGAGATGTCATACGTTGGGATAAAATCTTATCTGACTGCAAAGACAGTAAATGTCCAGCAGAGGTCACTCTTTCCTATAAGCAAATAACCTTCCTGTCCCTAAGCAATGACTCAAAAGTTCAGCAAAATTGCAAGGAGTCAAAAAATCTAACTTAATTCTCCTGAAGCCTCAATTTATTCAGTCTCTCAGTGACTCAGCTGCTGGTTAGTTTTTGGGAGATTATACTATATATATCCCATTCAGTATAAGATCAGGGATTTATTGTTCCCTTTTCCTTTATTGTCTCAGTTAAATATTCTGTATATATATTTTTTTTACAGGCAATGTTCAAGTTTTATTTAAGCACATTTTGTGGGTTGCTTTTGTAACACAAACAAATATCCGTTCTCCTTTAGAGCCAGAGCCTCCCTTCTACTTATCTACTTATTTAACTTTTTTTTGCTGCTTTCAAATGTAATAAATTGGACTTACATATTCAATATTGTGATTCACGCTTGCCCTACAGACCAGATAACCAGTATGTATCTTGTTTTGAATTGAGGATTGCTCCCCTAGGTCTTTCCTATATCTAGAGTACACAAGTGTGTGCATTCTTTGTGTGTGATACAGTTGCAGTTTGAGCAAGTTCAATGCTACACAGTTTACCAGTGTCACTGTGCAGAGTTTGATCATTTGTCCACCTCCAAGCTGAAATGAAACCTGCACTCTTGGCCACTGTTGTTTATGTTACTTTAACTTAAAATAAATACTTATGTAGATCTTCTCCCATTATACCATCTTTATTCATCAAACAAAAACCTGATAGGATTATTACATTGGCTTTTTGCAGTGCATTCGTATTACTTGTTCAATTGGGTAGCTGGGTAGTGGGTAGGGAATTAATCCTGACATTACAGCCAGATGGCTGCCCTGCTGCTTCACTCAAACAGATAGTTATGGGGACCAATTGAGCATTTCTTCCAGCAGAGAGTAAGTAACTGAAGCGCTGACAGTGAAGAAGCTTATTACTGCATCTTCACATTTTATCTCTGTTCCCGTGTGGAATGTCTAGAGGTTTTGATCCTCCCTCTCCTGAAACTGTACGTAACCTGAAACTGATAATAATAATGAAAACAGTTTCAAGTTCTTTTAGATGTCCCAGACTGTTTCTAAAATTTTGTGAATCATAGTGAAGCAGCTGACCGGAGTGAAATAAGCAACAGCTTCTGGGATGAGTTTCTACTATAAAGCTTTAAGGCTCTGTTATGTTTATCTGGTCATTTCTACTGACATAGAACATAGAGGACAATTCCTACACACTGTATGAGAGACATTAAGACACATGGGTGAGTGTTGTTTCATTTGACTGTCATCCACATGATCATATGTTTCCCCATATAAAATATTTTCTGTTTATTTGGGAGGGGCAAGAGGCTTTTACAATTAAGTTGATTAAGGTTTTTCATAGCTCCATCAGCACCACCTCCCAGTCTGGAAAATGTTTCAATTTTCTTTTAAATATCTGATTTGGGAACTACACCAAGGGCTTGTGAAGTTATCTTGTGAACATTTTAGTAATCATTCTTTAGAAATATTTCTTAGCACATTTTATATACATACTTTCAAATAACTTTACATAAATACTCCAGGGAGTTCAAATCAAAGACAATCCTACAAAAGAGAGGCTGTTAATGAAACTGAATTTGCTCTGATTGAAATAAAAAAAAAAAATGCCACAACTCCCTCAGGCCACGCACAGGGAGACAGGAGTTGTATATGGATCAATATGTGACTGCGAAAGTGGCCTCTGGCTTTACTTCTTCTACTTGTTGCCACAATATGCAACCTGAGTCTGGTCGGCGTGGAAATGACGTATGGAGACACGTTTTGGCGAGCTCATAAAGGATGGACTGTCCTCTCCCTGTTGCACTGAAGGAGAGACAAGACAACGGGAGCGGAAAGAGCGAGCGGGGCCAGAGAAGACCAGAGGATAGAGATACCGGTCTCGATTTGGGGGAGGAAGATAACTTGAGAGTGACATCATATCTACCGGAGGCACAAAGTGGAGGATAAAACAGGAGCACCCTGTGTGTGTGGGGACGGAGCCACTCAGGGGACACACAGATGTGAGCGACGCGCACGAAAAACGATTCAGGTGCAGAGAACCCAAACTGGCGGCGCAGTTATAGGATGCAGAAGTCACCAGTGGAAGATGCAAACTTCTTTTCCAAATATTTCTTCTGGTAAGACATGTTTCATCTACATCCTTTTTATCTTTGGGCACTCGTGCACTTGACTCGCATGTGGGAAACTCGTCACCAATCATCAGCTAGCTGGTAATTATTAGGCATGTTTGGAGCTTCCGAAATAACACTGATTAAGTTTTGTGAGGCAATAAAAGGCCACATAAAACCTTAGAAACAAGTGTGGTGGAGATCACAACAATATATTTAACTCAAAGTGTCAGTGAGACGGTGGTTGTCGGCTTAAATTGCGTGCGTAAAATGCGCACCTGAAGCGAAATGTGCTCCGAAACCGATGAGGAACTTTTTCTGGAAAATTCTGTCAGGTGAGAGTGGAAGCTTTTGAGGTTTTGCAAAGAAAATTTGTTGAGTGTGGTCATTAAATAAAACATGATTATTAACGATATTAACTTTACAGTGGAGATTTAAAAGGCGATTATATGGTAACTTTACTATATATTTTTAATAATCTTTATGAATATTCTCCCCTAATATGTATAAATATAACTCTAACCCACTAATGAGAGGTCCCAAAGAAAGAAGCAGACCAAATAATCAGATGATGTAATTGTTACAGCCTTTCTTTAAATGGTTTAGTCACAGGGACTAGAAAACATCTGACTTTATGTCACTATCAAAGGTTCCAGACACTTAACACTGGCTCTAATGCCAAAGGCTTAACTTGTAACCACACAAAAACAAATGCATTCAATATAATCTTTAACATATCTTTACCTAATTATATCATGTATTTTATATGTGTTTAATATACGATATGCACACGGTGTCTTTCAGCTGGGGATAAAAAAGCAATGCATCCCAGTGCACTTTGAATACATACTGTACAAAAAATAGATTTTGTAGCCAATTTTTGTTGGACCGTATATATTAGCATATTCCCAAATACATACATTTGTTTGCCTAGTTTCAAACAGCTGATATCCAACAATAGTTAAATCTGTGGTTTCCGTGCAGGTGGGCCTCACCGCTGCTGAGGAAGGGCTTTACAAAGAAGTTGGAGCTGTCAGATGTGTATAAGGCTCCTTCCTTTGATCTGGCAGACAACCTCTCTGAAAGACTCGAAAGGTTTGTGCACTTCAAGTTTCTGTAACTCTTTTACGTCCCTGCACTCTGGATGGTAATTGACCTGCTGTAGACCAGGCTCATAAAGAGATTTAGATTATTGGAGAACAGATCAGAGGTAGTGTTCTCCCTGATTCACTGATTGTCACTTCTGCAGAGTGGGTTCCTCAGGTGTCATTCTGGTGTGGTAACTAGCATGATAGGGTTAAGAAGTCTTGTTTTCGATTAGATTTTAAGCAAGTTGTCTGGCATGCATAAGTTCCAACCATATTGGAATGCTGCATTATACCTAATTGATATGTAAATCAATTTGCCATTATGTGAAACGTAGATGATATAAAAGTGAAGAGTTTCATTTAAAATAGTAGTTTTTGTCATTTATACCCTAACCCCAAAGTTACTAGTACGGTGATCTGTTCTCTTTACAAGGGCAGAAAAATCCATCTAGACCCATATCAACACCTTTAAATAAGCATTTATGGGTCTGTTTATTGTTTGGTGTGGCACTTTTCACACTGAGTGCTTGCTGAACACAAACAAGGTGATGTCTTAGCATATCTTCTGCATTTTCAATGGAGTGTGCCACCAGCACTAATCTAAAACATCAACAGTAAACATCTGATTTTTGGCACCAGTCCATCAGAATCAAAGACCAAAGGCCTCTTTGGACAGCCTCCGTTTGCACCAGTTGTCAGTTAACCCCATTTATTTTGAAGCTGGTTGTAGGGAATTCTAGGAAATGCATGAAATCACTGACGGACCTGCATCTACAAATGATGAAAATACAGAAATTGTCTAGGTATGAAACTATTCACTGTATCAACTACAAAGCATCCACCTAGAAGTCTGCCTGCTCAATGTTTTTCATACGTGCCCTTTACATGTGTTTATAGTAGTCATTCTACCCTCAGACTAAGGTTAAAATATGGGCTGGCATTTAAACCGAGCTAGACATAAACCAAACGTGTGTGCCAAACAAACAACCAGGCAACAGATTATGGACAAGGTTAACTCTTTTCTCTGTACTTTCAATTTGTCTATCTGCCTCGGTTCATCTCTGTCTCTCTCTTCCTCTCCCTCACTCTTTTGTTAAATTGAATAAACCTTGCATTCACTTGACTTTTATTCTCTCTTTCTCCTCTCTGTGACTCTGTCACTTTTATACCCCTCTTTTCCCTGCCTCATTGAAATGGCAAATTTAAAATTCTAAATATTTAAAACTTTAAAACTCTGTTTCTGATATCTACAAATACTGTGTCTACTTTGTCTCTTTTTCTTTCTCGTCTTTTTCTTTGTCCATCATTACGTTGCTCTCTTTCATTTATTCCTTCCCTTCTTTCTCCTCTCCATCCTGTATTTTACTGAAGATTTTATAGTAAGCAAATGCCAAACCTTTGCCAAAATTTTATTTGCTAACCCAAAGATTAAATAGTCCTGTGTCTTCTTTCTTTTATTTGTATTTTTTACCTTGCCTAACAACCACAGCAGTGTTCCACATTGGCCTTGCCTCTTGGGTTACCCAGGGGCCCGCGTCACGCTGAATGGTGCCAGCAAGCCAGTTAATGTACATGGGTGTTAAAAAGTCGACCTTTAGAAAGGGCCCGATGCCCACAGGGTGATGAATGAGCAGTGGTGGGTGATTTTGCTTTCATTATTCTGATCAGGCAAACAGTGAAGGCTTCTGGGAATGTGAACTTTACCTTCCATTAAAGCATGCTGTGTACCTTCAGCCCCTTCATCACCCACTCAGTTCAATTGAATGAGCTTTTCTGGCATGGAAAGGATTTCATTATGCTCCAAAAGCTGATATTGTATACATCAAAACCCAGAAAGAAATATCAGTAAAGAAATATACAAAACATAAATGATAAAGTTAGCATTTAAAAAATACTGTGGTATTATTACAGTAAACAAATACTGTTTGCTTGCCTCTAACACTATAGTGTAGTGCTAGCAATTGTCGCGCATGCAGCAACCATATTTCCCATCAGTCTTGTTAATATCATCTACAAGCTCTAGAAGAAGAACTAGAAGAAGATACATTTGATGAAAGTATTTTTTCATCCTGTTTGCCATTCACCACCACCAGCAACCCTGAGAGCTCCACTTCTGTTTGTTTTAAAGGGGAAAAAGACTGCTTCCTGCTGTAAAGCAATTTTTTTTTAAATTTGACCTTGTGGTGATTTATAACATTTATATATTGGATGCACACTATTAAAAATTATAACAAATTCACTTTGAACTGAGTGATATTAATCTGAGATGGTGTCCATCCATTTGTGTTTACACTGTTCCAGGGTGTGGGCACCATGTGGACCCTGACCAGGTCATCAGTTTGTTAACTTTAAACCAATGGGCAATTTAGACTTTCCATACATCTATCAATTGTTGTTTAACTTCAGGATATCAATTGGGAAACACTTCAGTCTTTGTCCTCTTACTCTGTTTTTCATCACTTATTTATCACTTTCTTCCTTGATGGTGTCCCCTCCTTCCTTGTCCACTTCTTGTCCCATCACTCACCGTTGAACTGGTCAGCCAAATCACCCTGGTTATAAATGACCCTCAGAACAATGCAGCTACTTACTTTAGCTGTAACTGCTTGCCAGGGCAGTTGTGGGAAGTTAATCAACAACAGTGTTGTAACAAGGGCAACAAAACTTGAACCCACAATAGGCGATATCCAAGAAAAAAGCAAACCTTTGATGACCAACAGCATGAACATAAATGAATAAATACATTTCAGCTTCTTGTTTTGTCACTGAAGCACCTGCCAAAGTTAAGATAGGACTCTTAAAACTGGACAGCTGGTTTGTTGCCAAAACAGTAATGGACAAATAGAACAGCCACAGCCAAACCTTGCTGGCATTTGGCTGGTGGATGTTATTCTCCTATCCTGCCTGCACTGCTGTTAAACTGTGTTGTAACTATGTCCCTGTTGCAGAGAATGGGACAGAGAGGTGGTCTCAGCCAAGAACCAGCCCAGGCTGATGAGAGCGTTGGCCCGCTGCTTCATTGGCCCGTTCGCCTTCTTTGGTGTCCTCCTCTACCTCGGGGTGAGTCTGTCAGTCTCGCTTGAGGAAACGGACATGCTGTAACTCAACTTATGAAGTGTGGTGTTAAGTCTGTCATAATGGATCATACTTGTACCATTGAGTTGCCATGGTACAGTTGTGATTCTTATTTTCTGCTCATCAAACAACACAAAATACAGGTATGAATAAATATAGTATCAGGTCATGTCGACATTAGTTTTAAAACGACCAATCACACACTGTTTCCCTGCCAGCTCCACCTGTATGTGTCTGTAGGTGTTGGAGTGGTGAGGGCCTATAGAGCTACGATGGCCTGATGCACACAAACATCACAAGCATGTCGCACCATGGTGTCGCAAACCATCTCACTGTCCCGGACTTATAGGAAGGTGGTCGCGTCACTAGTACAGTTGTAGGTGGTTGTCAAGACAAAAAGAATGCCTGTTAGATGTTAAGAGGCTATGTGAGAAAACAGAAACGTTTTAGAGAACAAGAACAAAGAAGTTTGTGGTTGATTGAGGTTCTTAGATATTTAACACAATCTAAGTTATGTTACAGTTAAATGCTAAATTATGACATTGACACTGATGTCCTCTTATATTGGCCATCTTGGTTAGCTGGACATGTTCTGATCCAGATATGAATCCATACATTATGGCGTCCAAAAAAAGGTGTGACATTGGGTGTTATGTAACATTTTTTTGGAAATTATTTTTATATACTACAGCGCTGAATTATCAAAGATATAAATTGAAATTTCTAAATTATTGGAAAAATTAGGATTATTCACTCTAGCAGGGGTATGCATTAGTGAGCTAAACTTAGACTTAGACTTAGACTTC